AACCCCTTATTTAGTTACCTGCATATTTGAGAGCCAGTCTTGCCAGGATGTTTTCCTAAATAGTAAATTCCTGTTTGAAAGAGAGGGTACTATGTTACTATGTTACCGGCAAAGTATGAAATCAAGGCATTTTGTATAAAACCTAGGTACTTTATAAAATAAGTAATGATTTCAGGCAATGTATGCAATCTTTTTTGATTTAAATATTTTTTTACATTTTTCCTAGACATTTCATGGAATAACTAGGAATTTTTTAGAATGCCCATTAGGAAAAGTGTTAAATGAAAAATTTAAGCTGACAAAGGAAACAGGAACATAAGAAACATAGTTAAAATATGTTTTAAAACCTATTGAAATGGTTGTTAATCTTTAATTTAACGAACGAAACAGGAGCATAACAAAAATTTTTGGAATATTATAATATAAAAATATTTATTATTCTTAACCCTAATTACAGTCCAATAGACTTAGACGGTCTGATAGGGGGTGCAGTTTTTGAAAAAAAAACTATTTGTGGGACGCGTATGGAGTGTACATCACTAACAGTTTGGAGGGTAAATTGTTGGATAGGAAATTTTACCAGCTTCAAGGTATTTTTCCTGAAAGTTTTGGATTTATTAGCAGAAAACTATAAAAATGCACGTTTGAGGTTTTTTTTTTTAAACAATAAGGGCTCTGGGCCGTGAAATATTAAAGTTGCAAAAACTTTTGTAAGGCAAAATTGTTGAGAATATTGTTTTTTACAAGCTGGAAAATAAATTCTAAAAAATAATAATAATAAACCACCCCTATTGCACAAAGGGTGGTGAGTATGATCTCCGCCCCTAACCGTGAAAAAATCAGCTTGCTCACATTTTTTTAATGATATCTTCACTGGACTATTTTAGAAACGTTACACTAAATAAAGAAAACAGGAACATAACAGACAACGTTCAAATATGTTTCAAAACCTATCGAGGTCGCTTTTTCTATTTATTTTTGCAAGGTAAAGTTGAATGGCATTTACTTTTCAGTCACTTTACAGTTCTTTTTGCAACTGCATCTAACAAATCCTTGACCGGTTCTTTATCCTGAAAATCTTTAATTTCTAAGAATCTGTTCTGACACACTCTAAACTGCAATCTGGCATAGAACGATTTAACCACTCCTTTTTTAGTACCGAGCTGGTACAGTTCATCGTCTGTTTTACTTATTACTATTGGTAGAACATTGCGAGCATCACCTCGTCCCCTATCAACTTCGGGCACTGGGACTCTGACCGTTGTACCGACAGATACTGAAGTAAATTTTTTATCGCTATGCTTTAACATTTTTTCTGCTTGTTGTTTTATGTTTTCTTTCGCAGAGTAACGATTTTCCGTTGCCAGTAGCGTTTTTGTACATAAAGGACATAACATCTCAGACGCACGTTCCTCATCACTTTTTGAATCTTTTGGTACAGCACAGATTGAATGAATAGTTTGTTTACATGCTTTGCAACTCTGAGTTCCAGTAGTTTCCTCAAAAAATGCACAACATACACGAGTAGTATCAGATGGCTCGTGACATATCTCCAATATCAAGTGGTTCTCTAGTTACATGCTCTGTACTTGATGGTTCGTTAGTTATATAATCTCTGGCTAAAGGCTGGTCCAGCGACGTTTTAGAGGTTGAGTTCTGAGGAGATTCGGTTTCATTACTATCTTCATGCATATTTTTGTTGATCACTCGCTCCAAATCTTCGTCGCCTTCAAGATTTTGCGCAACTTCCTTTGGTAATGCTATACTTACTTTTACTATGCATCCAAAGACAGCCTCGTAAGGTGTTCGTTTAATTCCAGAATGATAGGCTCCATTTTTCATCAGCTGTACGAATCTTAATCCTTCATTCCAATGTCGGCCGCTGTTATCTTGCATCCATGTAGTCAACATATTTTCGATATCTTGGTTCGCTCTCTCAACACTCCCTTGGCTCTGAGAAGTCTTGCTTTTCCGTGCACAATGGTCAGTGAAGGCCAATACTGCTTCAAATTATAAATAATTTGTTTGGAGAACTCCAGCCTATTATCAGATTGTAGTATAGCGGGCGCGTCAATTAAGGTAAAAAATTTTAACAAAATATAAGAAACCTCTTCCGCCCGTTTCGATTTAAGACCTCTTAACACAACGAATTTAGTTAAATGGTCCTGGTAAACCAATATGAATTTATAGTCACCATCTGGATGTGACTGAAAGTCACAACAATACCTTTTCTAACACCTTTTTGTTTTTCAAAATAAATAAGAACTAAAAGTTCAGATTTTCACGAAATTATATATTATGACATGACAATTGTTTCGGCAAAAGACACGGTGTTGCCGAAACAATTGTCATGTCATAATATATAATTTCGTGAAAATCTGAACTTTTAGTTCTTATTTATTTTGATAAATGGATTTTCATCAAGTACAAGCCACCTCAGTTCACTTTTTGTTTTTGTTGACATGGTTCGCAAAGTTGAATATACAGTTCTATTTCAGAACGGGTTAAGTGTTGATATCGGCATGACGATCATACGATCTCTTCCCCCATGACCAATAGTGATATGAGCTTCATGTAAAACGTCGAATAGTTCACTATCAGAGACGTAGTAAATTATGTTGCTCCCAGATTCTTTAACAGGAAATATTAGTTTGACATTTTGATCAATTGTCAAAATATCATAAGGATTCAGCAACCAATAATCCCGGGGACCTTTTTGGTTGTTGATTTCGCACTATTAACATCATTCATTAACACTTTGTAGTGATCATCTTCAATATAAACACAGTTCTTTGCATTTGAAAGCCTTTTAGTTCTTAATTCTGCGTAAAATCTATTTTTCATTAACGAAACTCGTGAATCGGACATATTATAATGGCACAAAGGGAACGTGTGCACGACGAAAAGTATGATGCAATACTAAACTAAACAGGAACAAAGAAATCAACGCAGCGCCAGAAGCATGTTTGCCAGATTTACGCATAATATTCTGTACATTGAGGATTTTCAAATCGGCATTCTATAAAATGCCTAGGAAATGTATAAAATATATCTTTATAATACCTAGGAATTATATACAATGTCGGATTTTAAAGTTTGCAAGTAACATATATATATATATATATATATATATATATATATATATATATATATATATATATATATATATATATATATATATATATATATATATATATATATATATATATATATATATATATATATATATATATATATATATATATATATATATATATATATATATATATATATATATATATATATATATATATATATATATATATATATATATATATATATATATATATATATATATATATATATATATATTAATAGTGTTCTATTACTCACACGAGTTTTAATTATGAAGGAAATAATTTTTTACTCCTGCAAAATCCCATAATCGTTAATCGATTGTGGAGACTCGTACCACTGTCTCCAAACTGTTTCAATATCCATCGCTAGCTCTAAAATATGGTTAAGGTCGGCAACCGTTTTTCCGAACTAATCGAGAGCTATCTAGATGAGCCCGGAGTGTCAAAAGTTTTTCCCGTTAGGGGCGTAACTTTGATAAATTGGACACCGTCCTAAAATATCCCTGGATTACATTCTAGGTAAGTTTAAAACCAGAAATTAGTGCCGAAGTTATACGCAGCACATTTTAATATTATCTATGTCCGGCAGGCTGTAAACTAATCCGGACTTTAACGTGTGTTGCTAAAGACAAACTGACGAAAATTTTATCGCCTGTCTTCTACATTTGCATACATGGTGGTTTATTGAAAAAGGCGGATGCTCTTTTTTCATTAGAAAGTCGAATAGTTTACGTTATAGAAAAGGCTTAGAGTTGAATTGTGTATTACATAACAAAATGCTAACAAAAATTGGTCAGCAATTCATCTTCCAATAGAACTTTTTCAAATTATATATGGAAGAGCTTGTGTTCTATGAACTAACAGCTATATATGCTACTCTATGTAACCGCCTTTTAATTAATTTATGATTTCTTAAAAGCGTAAATCTAAACTTTTAAGAACATTTTTTTTCACTAACTGTATTACTATGCTATAATATTAATTTTGTTATCCTAATATCCATTTTTTAAAAGCAATATTTGGCACTCGAAAGACACATTTCCTTTAATTTATAAAATTAATGTTTGCTTCCGTGAATCGACCATTAGAGTCGACAAAATTGATTCCTACTTAAGATGAAAATAATTTATTTGATCACCCTTTTGTCAGGACAAAGCTACATTAATTCCCTGGTGCGAAGAATATGAGGAAAAAAAAAGGAAATACATAGCAATAATTACGTGTCTCGGCGGAAGCGCTATTGGATTAAAGCATGATAAACGACAGCGTCGTTCTTCTTTTCTATTATTGCTGTTATTACCCACCTTTTATTTTCCGTCGTTTTCCTGCCATAACCGCCATAACCGATTTACGGTAAACTAAGAGTCAATAAAACATGACAAAGCGAAACGGCAAAATCTGGAACTCGTTGGATTGTAGTGACTGATTGACGGAACGGTAACTGCCTGTCGATTTCATTGTTTTTTCATTAATTCCCAAACCTTTTTCAGAAATAATAAATTTGTACCAAATACCTTATCGTAGATAATGAATTGTAAGAAACAATATACTTAAAGAAGCAATTTGAATTAGTAAATGGGAAGAAGAGGTCGAAATATTTGTATTTTTTAAAGTTCATAATTGACTTGCCTTAAATACCGGACTTGATTTATACAGAGCGTCACAAAACAAGACATCAATATTTTAATTACGTATTTTATACCCCAAAACAGAGATAAACCATCTTATAAATTAGAGTCCACAACGTCTTCGTTTTTTAAATTTAGATATATTATTTTGAAAACATATAAACATAACTAAATTAAAAAAATTAAAAATATTTGCAAGAAGATTAAATGAAATGCGAAAATGTAATGTTAACAAATTTTATTACAAATATGGTCTTTAGATACTAATACATAAAATTTTAACATCCTACAGACATTTATGCTAATGTATAGGTTGCAAACTCTGCAAAATATATTTTACAAACTACGTCTGCATTATTAATATGAATCCAGAGGAAATCGAATAACAACGAAGTCTTGTGTTATGTAGCCGCAACAAAATTGCTTTAAAAACAATGAATTTACTAAAAGAATATAAATATACCTATCATCGCCAAATTTAACAAAAATAACCATACTTGAGCAATTTACAATACTGATTTGGCATTTACAGTCAGCCGAATGTACATTTATTAGTATTTCTTCCATAAACATTCTCTTTCTATCATCTAAATTGGGTAAAATTACAAAACGGAGTTATTGTTTTTATATTCTCTTATAATATGCTATTTATAGAAATGATGCTGAGAAATAATGCTGAATATCTAGGAATTTTTTTATATGGTAGTTTCTCACTTTTGATTGTAATACGTTAAAAAATCCTATGTAGAAATTTTTAAATACTTATCTATTTATTGTTTTAAAAAATATTTGCTTTAAAAATTTTAAATTTTCGTCTCCGTTACGACTTCCTTTGAAAATGGATTCTTTTACAACGTAAAAAATTGAGAGTTCATCAATAATTACCGAAAATAACTCCGGCCTGCGAAGTATGATATTGAACCCACATATTATTAATACGAAAAATAAACATGGCCGAAGACAGATCTGAAATGAATATTATAATATAATACAATGATGCTCCCAATATTTGAGTAGTGAGTAAGGATGTTTCGTGTTTCATTCTCGTATCACCAATCACATTTTCTGTGCGATTATACCAGTTATACGTTTCAACCGCAGACGCGTCTTGCCCTATTATGGATATTAAGTACGTTCCTATAGGCACCAGGATAAGAAGCCAACATGCAAAGCTAAGTATAGAGTTCTATTGTGCTTGAAAATTCAACCTACTATGATTTAAATCATTTTTTGATACCTCTAAGAGCTGAGTAGTTAAAATTTTAGCCAGGACCAAAAAATCTGTGGCTTTGAGTTAACATCATCTAACACATTCGGCGACATTGGTGATTTACACGAAATTATTGACGATTTAACGCGATTTATTTATTTCTGGAAAAGAATTTATGGTTTGCAAACTCGGTTTTAATGTGCGCCGCCCTGTAAATTAATCGCATCGTAGATCGTAGGGGTGAGGGCGTTCAGAAGCGTCGTCAGCCGATAAGCACGTACAACGATGTCGGTGAAAGGGCCTCAACCCGTCTTGGCTTAAAATTATAGGCACACCGTCTTTATCAGATAATGCGCGAAACGACGAGGCGGAGAACATTGCTTAGTCCTTCGGGGACGACCGCCTAAATCATCTGACCTTGAGGTCTTGTAAATGAGGGAAGCCCCAAATTTGTTTTCTTAGCATTATCGCCGCGAAAGATTAAGGGGTCGGGCGTCGTGATTCAGATATTGAATAGACTTGAAACGGCGAGGTATTAATCAGCGACACCTTTCTGCGAGCCGATCGGGAACGATCAGCGAAAATTTTCTTAGCCGAGCGAAAATTTTTTGTTGAGCCTTTAATTTAACCAAAATATGAGATTATACTCACAAACTCTTTAAATCGAAGTAAGCGTTCCTGTTAAAAAAAAAAAAACAACAAAAAAATGAGAGGAAGGCCAATTTTAACAAATTGCATTCTCCCAAGCGCAATTGATAACGAACAAAGTGTTATTATCTGGAGGTTCATTTTCAATTGTGCAAAATTTATACAAAATGTAACGTAACATATGGACTTTCGTATCACACTTTTTTGGTCAGCAAAATTATCCCCAGAGTTTACTTTAGGTAATTTATTGATGACATTATTGTAAGCGCTTCATTTTTCGACGCTGTAAAATAATCCACTAACAAATGAAATGCTGCAAGTCAGTAATAGAAGTGGAAATCGAATACACTACAGGAGCAAGAAAATTAGGCCGAAAGGTCTCAAAAAATTACTGTCACAAGTTTTCGGTGTGTTTTTTTCAATAGAAACTAAAGTAGCTTTAGATTGAAAGTATTACACAGGATGTTTTCTGCCGTGAGGTAAGGCTGTCTTAAGCCTCTTGTACCTTTTTATTTACATTAATTTCTTCTTCGATAATAAATAATCTTTTTAATGACTTTCATATTTGCCGCCATTTGTAAGAATTTCGCGTAAAGTTTGTCGGAAATTTAGACTCAGTCCTAATTTGTGAAGAAATTCAGGAAGAACCTCACCAAGTTAATTGACATAGAAGTTATTTTTAAAGAAATTCGATACGTCAAAAGTGTAAAACAGAAGTATACGCCAAATACTTAAATATGGTTGTAAAGTCTAACCTAAAAGTTAACCCGGCCGGGTGGGTAGAAAATGAGTATTCCGTATATTTAATAACGATAGATAGTTATCTAACCTTGTTCTAATACACACAAATTGATTTTTCGAATCGTATTTGAACAAATTAATTATTTTAAATTTTCTCAAATTTAATATTCTTTGGCATAAGATATTTATTTAAAAATTTATATTATATTAGTGGAGAAAATATAAGACAAATATCGGTTTAAAAAAATCTTCCATAAGTCAAAAACTGCTTGTAAGCTACATTCATTTTCAATAAATCTTACCAAAATATATATCGCGTATCCATCAAAAGGGTAAAAACGGCGTAAGAGATTTGCAAAAACTGTACTACAGACGCGTCAAAGTCTTCTCAATTCTCCCCATTTAAGCGACCAAAGTTGCGATCGTTAATCTAACTGTCGACAGTTAGTAAATTAATATTAATTATTACCGCCGTCGTAACATTCGAGAAAATTCGTAAAACGTTATTTTCTACCAAACATTTTGAATCGAGGTATTCATTTGCTTCTCAAAGAAGGAACAAAAGCAAAAAAGATTTAACAAGTTTGAACATGACGATTTACTTTTTGCCCACCATAGAATTTGCTGCTGATACGAAAGAAATAACAAAGAGATAACCTTTGGTTGAGGTTAAGGTATACTTCAATGGTAGCTAATTTTGCTACCCGGGATTTAATATTTTTATTTAAAGCAATTTAATCTAAAAATTTTAAATAAATGAAGCTAATTAATATAAATGACCAAAAATGACTAAGAATTTTTTAAAGGTACTTTGAAAGTAATAATTTAGATGAATAAAGATTTTGTCTCAAACCTGAATACATATTTCCGAAAACGCAGCCTCTCTTGTGTTCTTCCCTTCTACCATATTACAAGAGAAAATAATAACAATACCGTACGATGGGTATAAACCAGAATCATCTAGTCACATTAAAAACTTGAATAGGAGTGGTGACAACTTATTAAGATGAATGCAAGTTTTCATTACTTAAATCTATACAATTATCACATAATTATAAATGGACTAGGAAACTTATTTACTTACTAAGAAATATATCAACATTAACTTTTGCACAGGGCGATACTATAACGACCCAAATAATGGTTTAAATTTGTAGTTTTTTTTTGTTTTCTGAATGAACAACTTCATTCATTATTTCATGTTTTCATGTAAATAGGGGTAGATATTATTAATGTTTGTCTGAATGTCATCAAAATTTATAAACAATGTTTTGTTTTCCAAGGCAATAATGGTAACGATAAAAGAAAATCCCAACAATCTATTTATTTTGAAATTCCGGTTAAAAAGCATTTTTCTTTTAAGTAAAAGTATGCAAGGTGCTTCATTAAAAAAATGAAGCTGTTGATTTTTTTTTCATTTGCGGCGATGATTTGGTTTTATTCGTACGGTTCGTACTGTACCACTTTTTTGTAAAAAGTTTTTCTACTGTTATCAAAAGTTTCTTGAAAAGAAGCACCAAAATACGCCCGCATAAATCACCCTGTGCAATTAAACAATAACAAACGGGAATAGGTAAAATGCTAAATAGGATTTCCACATTTAGGACAATTTATTGCCGCCAAACAATGCGTTATTTTACAGACCTAAAACGTTTACAGCCCAGGGTAATGTTATTACTCGAAACGTATATTCGGAATATAAACATTTGGTTAGTATAGCTCTGTTGACGTTTTCGTAGCGCTAATTATTATTTCGTTGGGGCGAAGATGCCTGGTTGCTTACATAATCTCTTTTTTTTGGGTTCGGGGGTGAGGGGGGGATGAATTGGTATCGATAGTTTCCGAGTTTGTAAAGAAATCACTTTTTGGTTTGAGTTTTGAAAGAGCAGAGTCATCCGTGTACGTAGCACATGTTTTAGTCGTCTAAACTATTTTTGATGGATGGACTACAAACCCAAGAAAAATCAATAATATTTTTACTATGCCTTAACGAGTGTTATTATAAAACTAATTGAACGATAGGTTATTCAATCGAATATTTGTCTACCAATATACCAACACATGGTTCTCCAACGCTACATTTTAGTCCAAACTCAATAAAGACAATAATACAGTCTTTTGATATAACTGAATTCTGTTGGTACTTGTATAATATGTTATTTCGAAACGTAAACACTAACAATATTTTTTTTTATATCATGCTATATTTGTTAGTGCATAATTTGCTACATAATTTTTAAGAATATTTAAATATTGACATCAGAATTTATTTCTTGCATCTAAATAAATGACTACGGAACTAAGATTTGGAGACAACCAAGTGCTACAAGTTGTTCACCATAATGGGAATGAGGTAAACATTTTTAATACATCAATCACTATTTTTCTTATATTTGTAGGGAACTTATATGCGAATTTGGAAGTTAAAGTGGAAGTGAAAAATGGTATGTTTTCGTTTATAAACCCGGAAACTAACTTTTTAGCAGGCTGGTGACTGGGCGTAAATTAGGAACATTCATTCTGAACCAGTAATTAGGGCCAATCAAGTTTTCCACGTCTGATAGGCGCTCATAATAGCCAATCAGCTTTTTGTCTCATTTTGATACTTCTTAAATTATATTTGATCTCTGCCAGAGTTAAGAGAACCGTGTTTAGAGAAATGGTAAATACAAATTTATTCATTCATTCAGTGCCCGATGTCAGGTTCTTAAATAAACCTAATACAAAAATTGATCTGAAAAATAAAATATTTGATTTCATATATAGTTGGTGTTGTTTGAAAGTTATTTGACAGATCGAAAAAGATTAAATATCAAAAATAATAAAATTGATTTTAAATATTAAATTTGTAAATAAATTTAGGTATGAGCGATCGCACGTTTCTCGAACCATACAAGGTGGGCCACAAATGAAGGGTTTAGTAACCCCGAAACATTGTTCGACAAGAACTTTTTTTGGCTGCTTTCTATTTTTTGTTGTTATTTAACGCAAAAATCAATCTGACGTTAACGTTAACACAAAATGAAAGGCCGGGAAAATTGTCCACTTTTCTCCAAATAAATAAATAACGGATAGTTTCAAAATCATTTTTAATCAGTCGCCAGCCTACCAACACCTTCGGTAAACACAATGTAGGCACCATATATCTAAACAGTAATTAAAAACCCTTAAAACTTAAGACATTACCGCAACATGTCGTAAATGATGGAGAACAAAAAACAAGCCAGAAAGGTCGTCGTGCTGGGGAGAGAGCACGTCCATCTGGCTCCGTTCTGCATTTCTGGAAAAGAAAGTTTTTACAAATTAGCGGCAAATCCGGACGTGGCAGTTTTCATTTTGTTCGCGGTTGAGGTTATGAGAATCACGGTCAATTGCCCTCAGCATGTGGCGTGTAAAACCCAAAATTGGTCGTGCTTTTTCAGCGAAATTATGAGACGCGGACATATTTTATGGATCAAAAAGTTGGAATAACGGAATGGAGTCATGGAAAGAATAAATGTTGCGGTTAAATATGGAAACATTTATTTAAATTGTCTGTAACTGTTTCGAGGTCTAAAAATAAATTTTGTAAAAATGGGCAAGATAATAAAGAGTAAGAATTTATCTTAACCTTAAAATTCAAGATTGAAGATTTGAGAGAGTTAGCAATCTGCTTGTCAGTCACTGCGCCCCAAATAATTTTCTCCATAGCTATATCATATCTCAGATTAGACTCCATAGCTTCTATCGTGACTCTTTGGTGTAGCTCATTGACTATGCTTTGGTTACGCCCAGCTGATGGAAGCCCACGTTCGATTGGAGTTCGCATTGGTATGGTGCATGGTATGGTTTCCTCCGTTTCTTGGCAGAATCTGCATTTAGTATTTTCTTCCATTCCCATTAGGCTTAAGCAGGAAGTAGTGCTACTAGTAGTAAAATTTCCATTATTCTTAAGGTTTTTCTTTTGTAGCTTAGCACGTCTGCTGTAAATTTGACATATGGACCTCTGAGGAATTCCTTTGCCTGTATATGTCCTGTGTCTTCCTATCCATTTTTTGATGGCTAATTTTCCAACAAGTTTAGTCAGCCCGCTTTGAAGAGCCCTCGTCGCCTTTTCTTTCATTACCTTTGTTGTCTTCGAGAGCAGAGGAAACTTGTTGCAATAATACTCTATATTAGGTCTTTATGAAATAGCTTTTTAGATTGTTCCGTTCTATGCCAGATTAAGTCATAATGAAAAATGGCTCTCATTCCACTTGATTGCTTAACCTGATCATCCTTGAACATTATATAAAATTTGTGAAATTATAGGTTATTTTAATATTGCAATACAAACAGGATATACAGAATGCCTATGAAATCTCTAACAATGTGTTGTATTTTTCCTATTAACCTCTGGAATTTAATAAAATAAAAAAACCGAATAAATAAATCAGTATTTGTTTTCTTTTGTACTTGATACACTGAGTGGTAGTCGTATAGCAGCAATTAAGTATCTTTTTAAGAAAATCGGAAAACAAGTATACTTGGAAAAACAAAGGCCGTTTCCACCACAGGCACCGATCATATTCTAAATGTTTACTACAATGCATAATTTTTTTTTTATCAAAAGAGACGTCCGATGTATTTGTATCTTTGACATTTCGAATATGGTCTCCGAATTTGGTGATTTGCTGTTGGTGATTTTGCCATTTTGCGATTTCTGAAGTGCTTTGTTTCTAAATATTAATACAACGGTTATTCAAAATTATTTTGTGGTATTTAGTGTATGAAATAACTAGTGACACTTCATGATTTATCCCTCAGCTGTCAGGGATAAGTTACTTCCATATTGACATCACTATAAACTGGAACCTTTGACATTTAGAATCGTAGAACGTAATTGGCTGAACCAAAGAAATCTTTGATTTATACCAACATAAAAGTGCCGCACACTCACGCGCATGTTGAATGGACCTTCTCAATTTTTTTTAAATTTTCGGAACCATTTAGTTTCGACTCAATAATGTCTTCGGTTTCAAATTAAAATCAATTTTTATTTTTCGCTGCATGGCGATAGATTTTCAATAGCACGTCAGTGTTTTATTAATATTGTTAACCGAAACGTAGTTAACGAAGTAGAATCGCTCATCCGATGGATGATTCAAGTATTTAAAGATTTTGTAAAATGTAATATTGCTCGTGGATGCTACGAAATGTTCGAATTCTTTAAAGTTTTGCACTTAATTTCGTTTTAATAATTTTCTCGGGCGTGGGAAAATATCTTTATGTCACGCGTTTCGGCGGGGAAATTTCCATAAATCGGATTTTTAATTCGGTACACCCCTTTTTTCGCTTAAATTCCTAGTGAAAGCGATTTTTTTCTTTTCGCGCTTGTTTCAAACTTTACGGTCAACTGCTTTTCGAACCATTTGGGACCACGCGCAAATTAGGGAAGTTGATACGGAGTTTTTACGGCACGGGCAGAGCGTGTTACGCATATAAATTTTATGAGTTTTGATTCAGGCAGTTTAGAAGTCGGATTTAACTTGCGAACGAATTTAAGCGATGGTTTACGTAATTAGAAAAAAGCAATTTCCATGAAAACGAGAAATTTTACAGCACAGCAATTTTTTGGACCAATCGACCGATCAAGAAACTTGTCCAAAAAGAACGATATTCCAAATAGATAATAAAACTGAAAATGTAAACCGGAAACGTTTCCAATCGAAAATGAAATCTACAAACTAGAAACATAGCCTTATAGTGAATGTAGAATAAATTAGGCGATAATTAGAACACATGAACAAAATGTGTCGCTAATTCAACCAATGCTGATTTTTCTCATTTTAGAATTTGTTTTTAGTTTTATATTGAAAATCGAAAAAATGGCGAATATACAATAAATTCAGTTGGCAATCAACGCAATGCCGATCCTTCCTAACTAAATTAACATCTAAAATTCTTACTCGTCTTACAGTGTTAAATTTTAAATATTGCGTTTAGAATGTGACAGTCTTGTTACAGCAAGTTGTGTGGCTCTTTTTTGGGTATGAAATTAGTTTAGGGTTGTAAAATTAGTAAAATTACATCCGGACTCGTATTTACATCCATACGTTTAAAAAAAAAAATATTCGCTATAATAGGTTCATATGAATAATTCTCCGTATGCGTTGAATCGTATCATACACCCAGCATTATCCAAACCGAACACGTACGCGTACGGAATATGCTGAATACAAAAACGGGATGAAGATAAATAATCTATTTTACCCACATGATTTTGACCTGGATTAACCAAGCGTGCTTGCATATTCGCCGTAGATATAGTAAAGATTTCTGTCGTAATGCCGAAAATTAATTAAGCCAGCTTAATTCAACAATTTAACTTAATTATCGAGATCGAAGGAGATTTAAAAATTTAATCAGGAAAATAATCCGAAAGTACTTGCGCACGTGGATTAGTATAAAGCAAAAAGACTCAAAATACGCAATTGTGGTCAAAAGTAACCTTTTGGCAAAACTATTTTCGAGTCAGCCTCTAATATTTTTAATTATATGTGTGGTTAATAATGTGAATGTGTTAGGTTTGATTAAATCAAATAAATAATAATATAAAAAAGAAACAAAAGTAAAAAAGTAAAAAAAATATAATGAAAAACATTTTTACAAATTCGTGAAAGCGAATGAGGAAAAGTGTTTGTAAATCGACTGATCCATATAATAAACATTACGTTTAATAATGCAAAAATTAAATTTACACCTGGAATTTAAAAATTTTGTTTTTTGAAAGGGACTGACCGTTCAAAGTGATGTGAAATCTGTTTTGCACTGTTTGGATTGCCATATTAATATATTAAAAGTGAAATAATGTTATTTATCGGTGGATGTTTTGACTCATATACTCTAAGTACAACTGCGCGTTTGTATCTGAAATCGGAATGGAAATTCCCACAAAACTCGATTTAGATGAAATCTCGTTGGCGACACGAAAATAAGTGTCAGTAAATTATGTTGTGTCAATCATGTTTTTGCGAAGTAAATAGCGATTAAATTCCAGTCACGTCTAGTCGGCCGGCATTTGCGTGCTAAGCGACGTGCTAGCGTTATTTACCTCTTCCGAATCTGATATTAGATCAACTCTACGAATGTATCGTTAATTGCGACGACAGTTGTTACGGTTAAAGGAAAGGGAAAGGGAAGATAAAAAATATTCACTCTTTCAGCGATCTAGTAATCGTAAGTTGTTTATTTATTGGAAAACTAGATAAATAAATAAAGAAATTTTACTTCCTCCACTTTTTATCAAGCGCGGTTATGTAAATAAAAAAACTATTTACCCAAGTGAGAACCAACATGGCTCTGCGATGACGTTGACCCTAGAACGGGAGCCAAACGTGGCGTATCGTCCCTGACAAAATCTTCAGCTGACTGCCTCCAAAGTGCGAAAATCGTGGCCTCGCATCTTATGCTCATAACTCCGTGCAAGAAATGGGATTTGGTCGCGATTACTTCTAATTTGGATTTCGACGAATTTAGACCCAGCGAAGATTCGTATTCAAACCATGTCGGGTGAATCAGAATATTGGGGCTGTCCTCGTATACCTGCAAATAAAACGAAAAGCTTTGTTATACGAAACCAATACCGCGAGTCCTAATAATAAATAAAGAAAAATTGGCAAATTTCGACATCGCGTAAAAAACAAATGGCTAGTTTACTTTGCTGTTGTAATTGGTTCTTTATGGAGATTTCACCACCTCATTAGCAAAAGATATATAATTAACTGAATGAAGTTTTTATATAAAGTCCCATATAAACAAGTCGTAAGTCTTATTCAACACAAACCATATATTGTTATATACAATAATACTAATAGGAGAATATCAGCAAGATATAACCTGAGTTAAAAACTCTCAGAACTTTCGCGGTATTTTTGTAAAACAGTTTGGTTTAGAAATTCATCATGAATAGACTCACGCCTGAACAACGCTTGCAAACAGTGCAATTTTATTTCGAAAATAATGGTTCTGTGCGGAATACGTATCGGGCACTACGTCCATTTTATCGTCGAGAAAATCGTCCATCAGAGCAGTTAATTCAATTAACCATGGAATGATTTCGCACCACGTTTACTCTTATTGATAACTAGCATCCCCAGAGATGCCGTACGGTGCGCACGGAAGAAGCTATTGCTGCTGTAGAGCGTAGCATTGAGGAAGACCCGAATGAGTCCATCCGTCATCGAGCACAGGAATTGGATATGTGTCCATCCACTTTATGGAAGATTTTGAGGTAGGATCTTGTTCACTTGCTTACAAAATCCAACTCGTGCAAGAATTGAAACCAAACGATCATCAAGTAAGGCGTAGATTCGTCGAATGGGCCCAAAACGAGGTTGCCGTTGTTCCCGATTTTCATAAGCGAATTTTGTTTAGCGATGAAGCGCACTTCTGGTTGAATGGCTACGTGAACAAACAAAACTGCCGCATTTGGAGCGAAGCTAATCCTCAAGTGTATGCCGAAACAGCGTTACATCCAGAGAAACTGACTGTTTAGTGCGCTTTATGGGCTGGTGGAATCATTGGTCCGTACTTCTTCAAAAACGATGGTGGCCAGAACGTTACAGTCAATGGTGATCGGTATAGACCTATGCTTACTAAATCTTTCATTCCTCAATTGAATAACCATGATATCCAGGAGATGTCGCTTCATGTCACACAGCTCGTGCCACAATCGATTTATTAAAAGACACGTTTGGTGACCGCCAATTTCACGTTTTGGACCTGTGAATTGGCCTCCAAGATCTTGTGATTTAACACCGCTAGACTACTTTCTGTGGGGCTATGTAAAGTCATTGCTCTATGCGGATAAGCCACAAACGCTTGACCATTTGGAAGACAACATTCGCCGTGTTATTGCCGATATACGGCCACAAATGTTGGAAAAAGTAATCGAAAATTGGACGTCCAGATTGGACTACATCCGCGCCAGCCGTGGCGGTCATATGCCAGAAATAATATTTAAAATGTAATGCCATAAGATTATCTTTCGGATAAATAAAATTCATGTCAATCGAATAATCCATCGTTGTTTTATTGCAACTTAAAGTTCTATACATCGAAAAAAAACACCCCTGATAATCGCAAGAAAGCTTTTTTTCACCATTGCCTAAATATAACTTATAATCTGTATGGCAAGATAAATTTCTGGTTATAAAAAAGTCGTTCTAAATTTTTAGGATTTCTGAGATAAATATGTAACGGGTCGCTTACAAAATCCGCAAGTTACAACAATTCGAAGCGATTGTTTGGATCTCAGTAAATGCCCGGATGAGATAGAAATCGTGCCCTAAATCGCGAAAAACAAATTGTCACACCCAGCATTGTGGAAGATAAATTTGAAATTCTCGTTGTGGAAGATTTAATTAAAATCACTCTTGGGCTTCACTTTGATGAAGGATATCGATTAAACTTTTTATCAGAAATTTGTTGCCCTTAACGGCGAAAAATCCAGCCAGCGCGTTTTGGGTTTTCGCTTAGATTGTTATTTCCGACTCTAAGCAAGGCAAAAATATATTTGTGTGTATGTTTCCATAATTGTACCGGGTTATTCATTGTATTTTTACACCCACCTACAGGGTTAATTTTGAAAGACAGAAAAAAGTGTAAATACAAAAGTTTGAACAAACAGCGATTGCAAGCAGTCAAAATGGCAGCAATGTCATTTTTGTAAAATGGAATGCTCTATATATTATCAGCTTAAATCGTAGACCTATTTTTTTCTGATTTCAAAAACATAGTTTATTGACATTTCATTTAGCCGTTTTTGAGATATTTCAGTTTAAAAATAATTATCTTTCGATTTCTGGACAATAGTTATATTGTTTAAAAATGGTCAACAATGTTCTACTTTTAACATCTAATCAAAATTAAAGATCTGCAGCCTAACTTAAATAACTTAAAATATTTCATACTGAGGAAGAAAAACGCCAAATAATAAAATTGTATATTCAAACGGACATATATAAGTATATTACTTTAATTTCAAGGTAAAATATTATACTGTTATGACACTTGACATCATGACTTTGAGTTCTATTTTTTTAATCTTTATATTTCATATTTTCTGAATATTCTATACCTGACGTTAAAAAAATATCCGGAAAGTCCTATAGTAAAATTTAACGAACGTTAAAATATCATAAATTTCACCCGTGTTTGTTCCTTCCAGTGCAAAATTTAACCGAGGCACATAAAAGGCAGAGGATCGAATTTTGGTTTGAAATGTATAGAAGATCTCCAGAAGATGGAATTTTTCTCTAAACAAAATAATATTTACGAATGAGCAGGTGTATTAAATAGGAGGAATAAACATTTTTGGTCCACCAATCGTCCACACAAAATGCAGGCAGTGAAAATTCAAGGACGGACGTCAGTAAATGTATGGTGTGGTATGTTGAACAATATGGTGGTCGGACCAATTATATACATTATATATCCTTCAATGGACAACGATATTTAAATTTCCTTGCAACAGACATAGAAAAGTTGTTAGAAAGTGTGCAAATTAGGAATTATTTAAATTTAATTTGTCATCAAGATGGCGCATCTCCACATAATGTCTAACCGGTTGCTAAAATAATAAATATAGACTTTGGATAGGTAGGCAAGGAACTATCAAATTGCCTGTCAAGAGCCCCGACCTGAATCCTTGTGACATTTTTTTGTTGGGATAGTTAAAAAATAAAATTCATTATAATAGGCCTGAAACTTTACAAGTGATAAGAGAAAGACTTAATATCGTTTAACAAGATCTAAACAAAGAAAACCCTGATTTTAGCACCTCGTGTATTAATAAGAAATTGAAAGGAAATATTGTCCGATGTATAGAAAATAATGGAGGTTACGTGGAAAATGTTTAGCATTAATTATTGATATTTTTATTGTTTGAATAACACAATTTTATTATTTGGTGAGGTGTTTCTCAGATCTTTAGTTTTGATTAGTTGTCAAAAGTAGAACATTGTTGAAACAATTGCAAACATAGATAATATGGTTGCTATCAAGGCGGACTTGACCATTTTTAAACAATATGGATATTGTCCAGAAATCGAATGACAATTATTTTTGAACTGAAATATCTCGAAAAAAGGCTAAATGAAATGTCAATAAACTATATGTTTTTGAAATCAGGAAAATGGTCTACCATTTAAGCTAATAATATATTCCATAAAAAAAATGTTGCTGTCATGTTGAGATAATAGAGCAAAAATCTTCAAACTTTGGTATTTACATTTTTTTTTCTATCTTTCAAAATTAACCCAATAGGTGGGTGTTAAAAAAAATGCTTGTTCGTTAGGAATATTTGATTCTGTGTCCTTTATCGACAATGTAGACGCTCAAAATCTTTCAATTTAACAAGTACCATAGCTTCGAAGATACAACGCCCCGTATACTTAATAATTGATAATACTCACGTGATGCTATATACGCGGTGAGAGGTGACACAAAATCTCTATTCCTTGGTTAGCGCAATAAGAAATTTAAACTTCAAGATAATATTCGCCTTTTGATTCGGATTCATAATTAAATTGATACTTTACTTAGTGAATTTCAGATCATAATTTTTGCGAGAAAGCTGCTTATTGACGGTTGATTCTTAGATGTTTTGTTAGTGACTGTCCATTACAATTTGGAAATAATATTCATCACCATATTCAGCGTATCCAAGATCTAGACTTACATATTTTAAATCTGAAATTTTTGGAAGTTAGTTATATTTTTATTTTTTGGGTTCATTTGAAAACAAACATAATAACCTGTTTGTTGTTTTTTTTTCTATAAATTTCGCCTACATAACTATTTCTATAAAGTCCTTAAATTTAGGTATAACAGACCTCCTTTATTTTGTTTGCTTATAACCAAAATTAATTGTATTTATTAGCATTGCATTCGTATTAAAAAAAAAGACGTTACTTAGGTCATACACTTTGTTTTTCAAAGCCAGTGTAAATAATAAATTGGTCAAATTTAGTTGATCACTTCGTTTCGTATATTGAGAATGGAAGGTCAATCGATCTGAAGGGATCTCCCCTACAACAGATTACGATCTATCACACCTGAAATGAATTGGATAATTAGGGTCAAATTATAGCTTCAATTAAAAGGTTCGCAGCAGGCGAGACTACATAACGGATGAAAGGAAAAAGATTGATGATAAATTTTTTTACATCAAAGTGCCTTTGATTATTGTGTACTTATTAAGGTACAAATGTTACTATAAACTTTAGGCTCTATTTGATTCTAAAAATGCTTTTCGTTGGTTGCAACTTTATCAATTGCGATAGTACATTGGAGTTTTCGATTACTTCTGAAAAAATATTTGCTCCAAACAAATTTCATCTGGAATGCATTCGCATTGCCAAATAAGGTAGTAAAATTTTATATAGAGCCGTAAGCAAATATAGGTCTCTCGATCCCAATCATCCGAATGTATTCAATATTTTACTCAAACGCTCAACTCGTAGTAGTCCCCGCTATCCAGTATTTATCATCAAAATATTGAAATTTATATTGGTGCATCCGTTAAACGGTTAGTTTTTTCA